ACCACAAGGAAGGAGATAATGACTAACAAAAGTATAAAGAGAAGAGACTAACAAAAGAGAGGGGGGACACTGACCAGACTAGTTTCTGGTGATCTCACCAGCTTGCAAGTAAATCTTATTTGTTTTATCTGAGTTCTGTGTCTTTGAGCATTTCTTTCCGAGATTCCCGTAACATTTGGTGCGTTGGCCGGGAATCGGGATAGAAGTGGCCCTTTTGGGCATCGGCCCAAACTCCACCAGAGGGAGCAGCTCTCCGCCTCCTCGAGGGGAAAGGCATGCCCCTGGGACAAATTTCCTTGGCTCCCCAACAGGACACAGAGACTCGCTCGCTGGTGGCAGATCGCCAGAACCGAGATAGAAGACAACAGAACAGGACTGCTGCTGTTGTTGTCTCATCTGTCTCTTTCCTTTTCTGGGTGAGAAACCCTGGAAATACCCTAGTTGTTAACTTTTGGGTTCACTTGGTGAATTTGTATTTTGTAACTTTGGGCAAATACAGCGCAGGGGCCTGATCACCCCTTGTGCTTTGCCATTTGGGAAGGTAGTTCCTTCCATTTGTTTTGGACACGGTTAGGGGGCCACCAGGAGGGAATGCAATAACCTCTGAATGAATGAGTGATCTAAAGAGTCTTGGTTAGGAGAGTGAATGTAACAAGCCGTGAAACTTTATAGACGGTCTAGTCTGTGCACCAAGACAAAGGGAAGGGTCATGTATGCTTAAAGATCCTTCCCCGAGCTGCGGAGCTTGTGTGTGGTCTGTCCCACGATTCTGTGGTTGCATTTAACAAAGGCACAACGGTGGGCTTAAGCGACAGCCCACCTTAGCCTGAACGGACCTTAAAGTGGCCAAGAGGCCCGCAGCCGGGCAGGTGAGGGAGTGATCCCTCACCTTTGTTTATCTTGAGTCACCATTCAAGGGTTGTAATAACTATCTGTGATCATGAGGAACACAAATACTAAACCAACTGTACTAGATTGTATGATTCGGATTTTGATAAGGGATTTGTGGGAAATTATGGGGTGAAGTTACGATCAAAAACTCTAAAGAAATTTTCTGAATTGTCATGGCCACAATTGGTATCCGAATGGCCACCAGAGGGAACCATAGACCTAAAGAAAGTAAGACAGGTGTGGAATAAAGTAACCAGGCAAAGTCGAGTGAATGAATTTCCATATATAGACATTTGGCTAGACCTATGCAGAAGGCCACTACCCTGGCTCCAGGTCTATGTTTTAGGGAACATGTCAACTTGCTTTGTACTAAAAACAGGGAGAGGAACTAGATCATAAAGATATGTTAGGCTCTCCGCCCCCCTACAGAGGAAGGTCAGCTGAAGCTAGTGCTTCACCACCACCAGAGGCAGGGAATGTCCCCTCTCAGTTCCCTGGGGCAGCATTGTCCACCCCAATAGCTCACAGAACTAGATCAGCTGACCCAGCAGCAGCCTTCCAAATGCCATTGAGAGAATACCCATCAGAAAGAGGCATTATTCACTTGCACCAACCCTTCAGTTCCTCTGATTTAATGAATTGGAAAAGAAGTATTCCTTCTTTTACCGAGGATCCATCCAAAATGTTACAATTATTTGATTCTGTCTTTGCAACCCATCGTCCTAATTGGGAGGACTGTGAAGAACTTTGCAGAGCCTTGTTAACTACTGAAGAAATGCAGAGAATCCTAGGGGAGATTAAAAAGATCAATGCCCCTAGAATGCTGGGAGACACACAAAATCCAGATGCTTGGCATGAACAAGTTTCCAGTAATTATGTGGCCCAATTGGAATCCCAATACCCAATCAGGTCAGGAGAGCTTAAGAAATTATTGGACAGCCCTTCTGGCAGGGATAAGAGCTGCAAGCAAAAGACCCACAAATATGATTAAAGTGTCAGAGACTCAGCAGGAGCCTGATGACAGCCCTGAGAAATTTTTTGAGTAGCTTTGCGAGGTTTATAGGATGTTCACACCATTTGACCCAGCTGTTCCAGATAACCGTCAGTTAATCAATACAACCTTTGTAACTCAGTCAGCCCCAGACATTAGAAGGAAGATTCAGAAGCAAGAGACTTGGGAAGGCATGAATATAACACAACTGTTGCAATTAGCTAGGAAAGTGTATGTGAACAGAGAGTCGGTGAGAGACAGAGAGTGAGCAAGGAAGGAAGATGAGTGAGATAAGAGGAGAGCCAGATATATAGTGGTGGCTACGGGAGCCAAGGAAGAGAGAGAAAGAAAGTCAGGAAACGAAACCAGAGGGAAAGCAGAAGAAAGGTTTTAGATGTGAAGACTTAGAGTTTGACCAGTGTGCGTATTGTAAAGAGAAAGGACACTATAAGAACAAGTGTCCAAAGCTCAAAGAAAAGAAAAAGCAGGACTCAAAGGAAAGAAGGGACACTGGCACGTTGCTGCCTGTAATGGAAGACAGTGACTGAGACAGACCGGGCTCAATGCAGCTAGGCCTCCATGAGCCCATGGTCAGTATAAAGATAGGGGGCCAAAATATGTCCTTTGTGGTGGATAGTGGCACAGAACATTCAGTAGTAATAGCTCCAGTTGCCCCTCTGAATGGTAAACACATCCAAGTAATCAGTGCCACTGGGATCTCAGAAAAACGGCATTTCTGTTATGAAAGGACCTGTGAAATTGGAGGACATAAGGTGAAACATGAATTCTTGTATATGCCAGAATGTCCTATTCCATTATTAGGAAGAGATTTACTATCTAAATTGGGTGCTACAATAACTTTCACTCAATGGGGAAATGCGTCTCTGCATTAAAACCCAGGAAAGGATCTCATTATGACGGTAACTACTAAAAGAGAAGATGAATGGCAATGTTACAATGTGGATGATGTTTATCAAGCTCCAGGAGAACTAAAAGCTATGTTTCCTGGAGTGTGGGCAGAAGACTTGCCCCCAGGCCTGGCTAAAAATCATCCACCCATAGTTATAGGATTAAAAGATAACTCCGCCCCCTTTTCAGTAACGCAATATCCGATGTCCAGGCAAGCCCGAATTGGAATCAAGCCCCATATCATGAGGTTAAAAGAATTTGGACTTATAAGAGAATGTAAGTCACCTTGGAACACCCCTTTGCTGCTGGTGCAAAAACCTGATGGGGACTATAGGCCAGTGCAGGATCTGCGGGCTGTAAATGACAGAACGGAGACATTGCATCCAGTAGTCCCTAACCCTTACACTTCATTGAGTTTAATTCTCCCAGAAGCAGCACAGTTTACTTGTTTGGACTTAAAAGACGCCTTCTTTTGCATTTGTGTTGCTCCTCTTGGTCAACCAATCTTTGCATTTGAATGGGAGAACCCAAGTGATGGGAGAAAGACTCAATTTACATGGACAAGATTGCCACAGGGATTTAAAAACTCACCCATGCTTTTCAGGGAAGCCCTAGCCAAGGATTTGCTTGTTTTCCCCACAGAATAATATAGCTGTGTCCTACTGCAGTATGTGGCTGACTTACTGTTATGCAGCCCAACCCAAGAACAGTGCTGGGAAGGCACCAAAAAGTTGTTGTTGCACTTACAAGAAACTAGATATAAGGTATCATGGAAAAAAGCCCAGATTTGTGTACAGCATGTTAAATATCTAGGATTTCAAATAACGCAGGGCATGCGTTGCCTAGGAAATGAAAGAAAACAGGTTATCAGTGCCATCCCTAAACCCCAAACCAAGAAGCAGCTGAGAGAGTTTCTTGGGGCAGCAGGCTTCTGTAGAATTTGGATTCCAGGTTTTGCAGAAATCTCTAAACCCCCTTCTGAAGCCCTAAAGGGACAGGAGGAGAATCATCTGCATTGGACTGGAGAACAGGAGGAGGCTTTTAAGAAATTAAAATTGACTTTGGCAGTTGCCCCAGCCCTAGGCATACCAGATATAAAGTGGCCCTTTACTCTATATGTGACTGGAAAAAAACCATGTGGCCCTTGGAGTGTTGACCCAAGAAGTAGGCCCATGGAACCAACCGGTGGCATATTTATCTAAGAATTTAGATCCCATAGCAAAAGGATGGCCTCCTTGTCTTCAAGCCTTAGCAGCTTCATTTCTATTGATTCAAGAAGCAGACAAGCTGACTTTAGGTCAGGAACTGACTGTGCAGGTTCCACACGCGGTCCTAGAACTGCTAAGCACAAGGGGGCATCACTGGCTCTCAAATAATTGGGTTGCTCAGTACCAAGCCCTTCTCTGTGAGGATCCCCATTTGCGGTTTATTCCTTTAAAAGCTTTAAATCCTGCTACCTTTTGGCCCACGGAGACAGGCTCTCCTGATCACGACTGCTTGAGTGTCACTGACAAGCTCTTTTCCAGCCACCCTAACCTGAAAATGACACCCTTGTCCAATGCTGACCTCGTCCTGTTCATGGATGAGAGCAGCTTCATGGAAGATGGGGTTCATCATGCTGGATATGTGGTAACCAAGAAGGATGAGGTAGTCTTGGCCAGGCCCCTCCCCATTGACTGCTACGCCCAGAGTGCAGAGCTCTGGGCCCTCATACAGGCACTCCGATGGGCAAAGGGTAAGAGGGAAAATATATATATAGACTCTCGCTATGCATTTGCTACCTTGCACATCCATGGCCTGATATATCGAGAGCAACGTCTTCTCACAGCAGAAGGGAAACAAATTAAAAATAAATAGGAAATTATGCAATTGCTAGAGGCAATGTGGGAACCTAGCAAAGTTGTAGTAATTCATTGCCCAGGACATCAGAAAGGCAAAGACTTCGTTATACAAGGTGATCATAGAGCAGACATGGAAGCCAAGAAGGCTGCCAAGCAAAAATTACAGATGGCTGTGCGACTCAGACACAAGCTGCGTGACAAAGTGCTCAGAAGCCACAGACTCCTATAATATATTCAGACAAGGAGAACATCTGGGCTAAGGAACAGCTTGCAGAAAAACAAGAAGACATTTGGGTACTTCCAGAAGGAAGATTAGTTATTCCTGAAGCTTCATCCTATTATTGGGTAAAGCAGTATCATGAATTAACGCATGGAGGCAAGACTACATTACAAAAATTACTAGAGAAATATTTCTATATTCCTCGTGTGGTGGCTCTATGTGAACAGGTATCTCAGAGATGTCCATCCTGCCAGAAAATAAATCCTACAACAGGACCAAAACTGCTCCCAGGAATTCAAAGAGCTGGTACTAGCCCCTTTGAGGATATCCAAGTGGATTTTACAGAATTGCCACCCTGTAGAAGTTATAAGTGTCTATTAGTTTGCATCTGTACATACTCTGGATGGCCTGAGGCTTTCCCTACTCAAACAGAAAAAGCCTCAGAAGTGCGTAAAGTTCTGCTAAGGGAGATTATTCCTCACTTTGGCCTCCCATTCTCTATGGGGAGTGACAATGGACCAGCTTTTATAGCAGATACTTTGCAAACTTTGGTTAGAATGTTACACATCAAATGGTATTTACATACTGCATATAGGCCACAAAGTTCTGGGAAAGTAGAAAGGATGAATAGAACCGATAGGTCTCCCACTACTACTTCAGCAGCTATTATGTATAGTAGCTGTCCTCTTCCTATTGTGCCTTGCCCCCTCCCCTGTGTGACATCATGCCAAGATGGTTGCTCCCACCAAAGAACAAACCCTTCTTCCCAGCATGCCCCTGTTCCCACCTAGAGAGTAACCTAAAACTTGCTTACCTCCTACCAACTAATGACATCACTGGCTCCTCCATTCCCTAGTCACTGCTTCATTCAACCCTGCCTCAGCCCCTACAAACCCCACCCCAGTCTCTATAAAAGACACTCCCTGCCCTGGCCATGTTGCTGTTGTCTCTCCTTTGTTCAGAGACAGCCCGGCAGATCTAGTCCCCTAATAAAGGCTTGTTGTGGCCTGGTCTGGTCTTGGTTTTGGGCCCTTTTACCTGACAAGAACTATTAAAAATGCCTTAACTAAGTATTGTCTAACTACACAGGGACCATGGATAGACTTGCTCCCTATGGCCTTATTAAAAATAAGAAACACTCCAGGAAATATGGGATTCATTCCTTATGAAATATTGTTTGGAAGACCCCCTTGTATACTTAGAGACTTTACAGGTAACCTTACTCAATTGGGAACATCCACTATAGAATTGCAAATGCTAGAGTGAGGTAAAGCATTTAACAATATGCAAGGTCAGTTGAGATCAAAGGAAAACCTACCCACCATGACTCCTGCACATTTGATTAAACCCAGTGATTTAATTTATGTTAAGAATTGGAAAAAGACACCCTTGCAACCTGTATGGGAAGGACTGTATGTTACACTTATGGTTACTCCCACAGCTGTGAAGGTCGCCAAGATCCAACCGTGGATCCACCACTCCCGAGTGAAGAAATCCCACACTGAGATCAATGCTGAAGGCCAGAAAAGACAACGCACTCGAAGCTCTCCAACCGTCACTCTGGAGGCTGATGGGCAATGCACAGCTGAAGATTGAGGATCGTCCTACATGAAGCTGAGTGACTGTGCCCCTTTATGGACTATATCCTTCCCTGCTTTATTCATTTTGATATTAATTCTGTGTATCTTCTTGATATTTTGTATTGGCCTAGTAGCTGTTGCACCTAGCCATTGGAGCAAAAAGGAAAAATGCTGTCTTTTCTTATGTTACATAGGTGCACAAGGCATCCTGATCTTTTTATCCTGTTTGAAGTAGGTCTTTTTATAGGCACTGGAGTTTTGGCAGGGCACTGGGACCTTGAGCTGAGTGTTTATAAACCAAGGTACAGGAAGTTTGATGCACGAACTAAGCTCACCAAGGTTGTCAAGTGGGAGCCTGAGGGATACCCCTTAGATTTGTTTTTTGATGCTTGTCCCAAAGAACACTATGGTATGCCTCAGACAAAAGATTGTGGAGGCTATGGACAGGAGAAGAGCCTCTGCCAAGCTGGAGGGCCTATTTACTTCCTAGTGGAAAGTGAATCAACAAGGCCTCCAAGCCAGAAGGCTATAGCTCTTATAAATGCAAGTTGTCATGACTGCCAGCAAGGCAATTGTGTTCCAGTAAAATATCACCTGAGAGACCCATGGGACCCTAAATGGCTAAAAGGGTACTGGTTGCAGGTTAGGATCATCCCGAGCAGGACCTCATACTGGAAAGGGCCGTACTGTACTATGCTCATAAAAAAGGGTTGGACTACAATAAGTACCCCTTCAAGTGTTGAGGATGGCCCATCTCTGAAATTACTAAAAAACTTTAGAACAAGCCAGACCAATTACACAGGTATTGATATGGTCCAAACAATCAATAGCACCCACCGGCTCCTATTAGCAGCAGATCCAAGGTTAGCCTCTGATTGCTGGATCTGTGCCCCCTTAAGCCAAATCTCATACCAGGCCCTTGGTATCACAGTAAATAACATGATGGCTAGAAACCCGACCTCAGGGGTCTCAACTCTGTTAATTGAAGAACCTACAGAGGCCATAGGTAACAGTACCTGCCTTCTTGGAAACAAACTACACCTAAATGCTACCTGTAAGTGTGCAAGTATCACTGTGTACAGAGGTAATGTTTCTGCTCCTGAAGGGACTTTCTTTCTTTGTGGAGATGGGGTTTATAGAGTGTTCTCCTCCCAAAATCCATGGACTTTGTGCTTTAGGAATTTTAATTCCCAGGTTGTCAGTTTACACCCCAACTGACGTGACACAAGTGCCTCTGAGGATTGGCACAATCAGAGGTCTCAATAGGAGGAGAAGGGACCCCATTATTTTGCCCATAATGGCAGGATTAGCTATTGCCGGAAGCCTTGCCCTAGGGGGAACAGCTCTTAGTCTAGGACAACAACAATGTCTGTCTTTAGGAAAGGAAGTAAAAGAGTTTGGAGGAGCTAAGAACCTCTATCCTCACACTCCAAGGGTAAATTAACTCCCTGGCACATGTGGTGCACAGAATAGAAGGGCACTAGATTTATTAACTGCAAAGCAAGGGGGAATTTGCTTATATCTAGGAGAGGAATGCTGTTATTATACTAACAAGTCTGGAGTAGTTAAGGAATCTATGGATAAGCTTAAAAGGAGGTTAGATAAAATGGGAGAGCAATTTAACACTGAAAATTCAGATTCATGGGGCAACTGGATCTTATCTAAATGGAACCCATGGTTAGGAATCCTCACTGGACCACTACTCACTTTGCTAGCTTTAGCCATGATAGGCCCCTGTATTGTTAATTGGATAACCAAGTTCATCTCACAAAAAATAAACTCTATCCAGAGCTACCAGATGTTGGTCTCTACAAGACATATAGAATGTAGGGACATCAGTGATGCCAATGATGAAGAATCACCATGAACCAAAACAAATGGGGGAATGTTAAGGGATACATAAAATGACTGCAGGCAATAGCACCATCCCTAGATAAGGAAATGTCTGCAGCATTTCTTAACTGCAACCCCCATCCCCACTTGAATCGGGCCAGA